AACAGGACTCCGATTGTGTACTTAGAATCTACAAATGAAAAACTATTATATCAGGTGCTAAAAGGAGGACTAGAGATAAGTATTATACAATGTCTAGGTTTAGAATTATACAGCTAGAACTCTAAGCTAAAAAAGAAAGATCTAAAAGAATCATCTTAGAGTAAATATATCTAGTCATCTCGGAGTATTATATTTATATTCATATATATATATATATATTTTTTTAAGACATAATCGATTGATTAATATTCCTATTAGTGATCGATATATATTTACTCGTAATATAAATTTAATTATTACTTGTATTTTAATTTTCATATATTTCTATATTTCTATTCCCTGGCTTTTTTCTGCACTTAGGGATTGATATGATATTAGTGGTAGTAGTAGAAGTAGCAGTAATAGGAGTAGCATTCGTAAATTCATGATCGATTTGTTATATCTAGGTATAGCTATCTATAGCTTACGCTACAATGCTGTGATGATACATCTCAATTCCCAAATCCTAAATCATAAATCCCAAATCCCATATCCCAAATCCATATCCCATATATCCTCATTCATACCCTCATTCATATCCCAATCATATCTCATTCATATCCCTTCATATCTCAAACCCAGAGTCAAAACCATCAAACTAACAACACATCTCTAATACCCATATCCATATCCATAACTAGTAGGCTCCGCAACCTTACTCTTGCTCGCGCTCGTATGTTTCTGACTGGTCGATGCGGAAACGGAGGTTGGTTTGACGATGGAAGTTACGAGGGTTGTTTTGCTGGATGGGGTCTAGATGAGAGAGGATTATTAGTTTTTGAGATTACTGACATTACTCGGGGTAAATAAGTTTTCAGAGGGAAGGGATGCTTACCGAGGTAGGTTTTGCAACCGAAGTAGTTTCCGCCGCCTGGGTAAGCGAAAGCGAAGCAGTTGCTCTACTGCCAAGGGAAATACAAGTTGGTGCTGCGATTCTATTGCTACTTAAAGTGACGGCGGCACCTGCGTGGAGACCTCCATTGTTTGAAGCTCCGAGGGCTAAGTTGATAGATGCGAATGCTAAGATGTTGCCTGCGAAGGCACTTTTTAAACCGATTGTTGCTGAACTACCTGCATGGAGGAGAAGAAGATGAATTAGTGCTGTGTTGTGGTCCGAAAATTGAGGCGAGAAGTGTGGGAAGGGGAAATGAAACGGAGTATAACATACCAACGGCCCAAAAGATGTTACATGCTGAAGCACCATTGATGAGATTGACAGATGCTAAGGCGCCCGTAACCAAGGTAGAACCAATCTGGAAAACCCATGTACCATCCGATCTACCAGCACCATCAAGTGTCAAGACTCCATGGAGAGATACCCCACTGGTATACTTGTAAATGCCCGCAGTAAGAATACGACCACCAAGTTCCGAACTGTCGGTGGAATCAATACCTCCGGTGAGTCCATTGGCGGTAGTGTAAGCCGTATGAGCATCGGCTCTTGCTTGGAATACATCCGGAGTGGCAGCCTTGGTTGTGCCTGTCGCGATTCCAGGAGGAAATCCATTGATCGAGGCGCCAGTGGTACCGATGTTGCCGGTGATGACGGTGAGTCCAGCATTGGTGATGCCGGTTTCAGCTAAGGCACCGTAGGGTGCAGCGGTTCCTAGAGTAATCTTAATGTATCGGTGTTAGAAATGTTTTTGTTTGGTTGTGTATAACTGGACCGGTTGAGCTTTACCTGAGAAAGACCAGGGGTTACCAAGGCGGCAACCCATAAGAGAGGAGAAGTAATATGCATCTTGAGAGTCGAAATGAGTTGAAGTATGGAGTAGAAGAAGGATGGTAAGAGAGTGGTCTGTATGATTCAAAGAAAGAGGTCTTTAAAGAGGTGGGATACTCTTTCTTTTAAAGAAACAAGGTGACATTCAATTCGATATTTACCCATCATATGGTAGCACGTCACAGTGCTTCCACCTGTCCCACATCATTGCCTCTTGTCATGAAAGATATGAAAGAAAATCTTTGGGGGTTTTTTTTCTTTAGATGCCAAGCCTAGATTTGATCTTCTGAGTCTAGAATAGCTCCATTATCACGGGATTTGGGATTCGAGGTACTTGAAATCTTCAATATATTATCAAAATTACTCGAGTAATGAGAATAACCTTTTTTCCCCCGAATCTTTGAAGATTCTCCATGCCTGTACTAACAGGATTGCGGGCAAACAGTTTTCTGAACTTCTCTCAAGACTGAACTTCTCAACTTCATGAATTTTGAAGTCATACAACAACTTTCTTCACCATCCGTCCACCAAGAAGGATCAATCCTCCCGCCAACGTCACCAGTAAGCCTTCGGCCCGATCGACATATTGAAAGAACGACTGGCACTGGCTCAAAACCCTTCACGAACTTTTCTGCTCGTACCATTCTTCTATCTTCAGCTCTTAAAAAATGTCGGTGGAGATGTCGGTGACCCGGTGAAGATATCTGAGACCTTGCAGATGTCCATTAGAGGCTTGGAGTACTTACTTATTAACAGGCTAGCAAGTACTTATTGCTACTTAGTGGGGTTATATATCGACCTGCCACTTGCACTTGCATATATTGAAACTTGAAAGTACCATATCTAACTCGAGAGTAAAGCCTAGACAATGCCAAGGATAATAAAAAGGAGATATCCGAAGCATCCGAGCATCTCGATTTGATTTCGATAGTCCCAGTACGTACGGTACAGGTACTCACTCGATTTCAGTAAGTTCGTCCTACGATATCCCTCGGAATTTTATCATGGGGCTCAATGGTACTCAGTCTAGAAGGTGGCACTTGTTCTTCCCGGCTAAGAAATTGATGTGAATAATACGTACCGAGTCGAGTAGACATGCAAGAATGATAACAGTACTGAGTACACAAACCAAAAATATCTCCTCGTCATCTATCTAACCAGCCATTTGAATATATTTGGCCAATGGTTACCCTAACCTAACGTTGATGACGGGAAAAGTCCGACTCATGATGAAACCGAATGTACATAGATTCAGATAGATAGATTATAGTTCATGTACGGCTTGTACACGAGTACACCATATCAAAAACGAATCTTTTTCGAGGAGACATTGCATCAATGAATGGTATGGCTACGTTGAATTATATAAACTACTCGTATATATTAGTCATAATAGATGCAATTACAAGGGGAAATATCCCGAAATGGTGTCATGGTTGTTATGGTATCATGGTGGCAAAAAGCAGGGACCACGACCCTGCATATATAATTTTACGCATTTGTGTAATTTGACGGTACGTACAGTATATTTGTATATTTAAAGTAAATAATTAATATATATGATACTAAGGTAGTTAAAAGACCCCTTCATCAATTACCCGTCCCGTCCCGTCCCCATCATTCGAATCCCTTCAGATGCCGACCTACCCGACCCACTTATACCTACACCAATAACCCGGGTTCCCGTGTTGCGACACTCATACATCAATGGGGTATCCCGTCCGATACTACTCAATATAATATAATGCTCAACACATACATACTACTCAATGCTCACCACATGCATCTAACACAACAACTGACCTCCACCCTATCTTATCCTATCGTATCCCATCCCTACACGCCGATCCTCGATACCGCATACCGCACAGCAACAAGCAATATACTCAAGTACCCAGTACCGTGACAACATACAATAAACATACAATAAACCACAATATTATATTTCTTTCTTTCACCTTGAGCTCCCCAAGCAATTAGAATCAAATAAAGAAAGGAAGAGAAAATAACCTACCCCCCCCCCTACCCCCCCCCTACCAAATACCTACCCCATTCAAAACCCACACAAACTCACACTCTAACAACTTCAACTCTCCCGGGCCTACCATACCATACCATACCATACCACCCTACTACTACATATATGCAGTGCAGAACCAATCCAACATCACTCAACTAACCACTTGCTAGCATCAATAGATTCCTAGTAAATTGGCGATTCAATTCTACTCGAGTATCACGGTATGCTTTCCTATTATTATTACTACCAGGAGGGTTGGAAGTCGTCTTGTTTGAACTTTGCTCATCCTATCTTTTTCCACTAATCCAATTCTATTCTATCTCACTCACCCTACTCGTATTTACTCAACTCATCTTTGAACTCACCTAATTACATACTCCTCAATTCACCCAATTCATCTTCTAATCTATTCCAGATAATATTCCAGATACTTATCTAGTATCTACTTATCTTCATCATATTCACTCACCCTATCCATATATTTCATTCATTCACCTACTCACCTACTCACTTATCACCTACTACTCATTTATCACCTCCACACTTTAACTCATTATATCTATACACCAAATCATCTACAGTATCTATCCCATTCACTAACTCCAATACATTTACTCGCCAATCATCCCATCCTATCCTACACACCAATTCATCTATCTATCTATCTATCTATCTATCCCATTCACCAACTCCATTCGTTTACTCGCCAATCACCCCTATCCTATTCCAATATATTCCAACCCACCCATCCATTTCCCACCCTTCATCCCAACTCAATCCCTACCCTATCCAATCCTATCCCATCTCCAACCGCCTCACCCTTTCACCAGAACCCCCAAATCTCCAACCCCCAAAATCCCAAACCCCAAACCTCAAACCTCAACATCCATCACGTACCTACCTATCAATACGAAAACTAGAGATTGGCCAGAATCTCGCATCAATTACTCGTAGTTAATTGCAAAACACATACAATTCTTGGTTGATTGGTCGGTTAATTGGATTGAGAAGAGATAGAATAGAGTTAGTTACTTAGCAGAAAAGACTCTTATTCTTCTTTTCCCTTTTTTTCTTCCCGTTCTTTTTCTCTTTCTCTCAATTATACTCGTATAAAACAAAGCAAATATCAATTCGATTCATAATGCAACCAACTAGGTCAATTGATCAACCATATCCCACGTCCTACATCCCACACACTACCCACCACCCAAACAAGAGAGAGAGAGAGCGAGCGAGCGAGCAATTAATCAGCTTCGCAATCCACCCACATTGTTATCCCCATCCCATCTCCCCCCAATTATATCTCTCCTTTATAAAGGGCACATCAAATACTCGAGTAAAACATACAAGCTTCCACTCCACCATCACCGTTGCTTACAGCACCACAAGGAAACTCACACCCACCCACGCCCACGCCCACGCCCACGCCCACGCCCATATACACATCATATCATATCATATCATATCATATCACAAGACCAAAAGACAGCCATATACTCACTCCTCACTCCTCACTCCTCAACCATCAAACCACATCAAAAAAATAACAATAATAACATTAACATTAATAATTCCGTTCCATTTTCATCCATCCCAATTCATCTCATTACGCTCCACGATGATTTTCTCTTCTACCTGGCGCAGACCAACCAGTCCATTCGAGCCCGTAACTCATCAATGTGTATGCTCTCTCTCTCTCTCTCGATCGACAAAAAGTCAAGCAACTTAGCAACAAACCAAACCACCACCCCCCAAAAAATTATGCCATCTATTTTAAGAACCTATTCATCACTTTGAAATTTTGGTCATGATGTATATTCAAACCAGCTTCATTCCTTCCATCCACGCGATGCATGCATGCAAAACTATGTACGCTCAACAAACAACCAACCAAATCCAATTAAACCACTTCTGCTAACCCCTCAATTATCGCCATAGTCATCATATTGATGCTGCTGCCACCGGTGATTCTCATTACTCAGCGGAGCATTTGAGTTTGCCCAGCTTGAATTACTTCTTATGATTCTCTCTTTCTCAAACTCCTTCCATCTCTTCATGGTGATCTTTGAGCTATCAAATTCTCCCTCGTATTCAATTCCTGCTTTCTTTGTCTTTTCACCCGCAGTCTTACGAGTATCACCCCAGGAGAAATCGTCGAATTTCCAGAAGGCGTATGCTGGAAGTAGGAAATTCCAAATGGGCAAAGAGACGAGATAGATCATCATCCAGAGAACGTAGACCCAACGATGAGCTGTTACAACAATCAAAACTGCCGGCAAACCAAGGATCAACCCTAAAAGGACAAGTGGAATGATTTGAACTGGGCGACGAACGATTGAAATGACCACTGGGAAATGATTAGTGAAATTATCCAAAATGATAAAATGATAGTTTACTTACCAACGTAGAAGGTGAAGGCAATAGCGGCTGGAAGAACCAGAGTACTGATGAGATCGATAAAGACTACAAATTGCATACTGAAGCAGAATGTACCACAAAGATCTCGAACTAAAACCAACTCCATCAAATTGTGGACAGTACTGTTGATCCATCTACGTCTTTGTGACATAAGAACCCAGAGAGAGTCTGGTACCTGAGTTTTGCAAACAGCTTGTGGAACAAATACCTGTTTACGCTTGGGGAAGGTTCGAAGCATGAGCGTTGAAAGATATCGATCCTCTCCCAAAAGTAACAAATTTTTCTTATGTAGTGTGTCTACTACGTTATCCGAGTAATGTTCGACGACATCAGGATTGGCCAAGATAGGTACCCAATAGTTACCACCCTTTGGAGCCTTGATTCTGTACATGGAGAAACAACCAGGGAGACAAGTAACACCACCGAAGACCGACTCGAAGGATTTGACAGAGTGATGAGAAATGAAGTATTCGAATACTTGAATCGCGGTTGTGAAACTGGCACGTTTATTCGCAATCTTTGTCTCTCCGCAAAGTCCCATGATTTCAGGATCCTTTACCATTGCTGATACCATATGTGTCAAACTGTCTGGGAACACCTTCGTATCTGCGTCAACCATGAGAACAACCTCATACATATCCGGGAATATACCACTGATTTGGTAAAATCCATTGAAAATTTCAAATTCCAATTCGGTCATACGTTCATCAAACATCACTTTCTGTAAGAAAGACATCAAAATGATTTGACTGTCGCGCTTGCCTCGATTTCCAGGTTTACGATGTGTAGCTTCATCAGGAGTACCACACTTGACAATGCACACCATCGGGACTCGGAGTTGTCTGTTGATGTTAACCGTAGAATCAGCACCATAATCGTAGAATCCAGCGTAGACCTTGGCCATGTTGTGTCTTTTCGACCCCCTTTCTACCGCTACGTAAGAGAAAGCGGGAACTTCTTCTGGAGGGGTTACGAAGTCCCTCATCATACCAAGAACAACCTCTGGTGTTGACTTCGGTTCACCTTCACCCTTGATGATACCATCGCAAATAACTAGGATAGTCTTGTGACTATTTGGATAATCAGTCGTGGCGATAGAGTCGAGAGTCGTACGGACACCAAGTCCACCTTCAGAGTAGGCCGTTACGAGAAGAATTGCGTGGGCCAAAGGGAATCCGTAGGGTTCCCACTCTTTCGGTGGTTGAGGAACTACTTGTTCGTGAATGAAGCTTGCAGTGCCGGGTCCCTCGAAGTCATTTGCACCGTCTGCCCGCAAGAGACTGTTTCGACTATTGTTTTGGTTTCGAAATATGGGATTCGGGGGAATCAACTGAGCTGTAGAGTTCTGACTTGCCATGGTCGTAGGCTGAGGGCGTCCAATGCGAGATGATCGGTCAGCAGCGGCATAAGGATTTGAGAAACGAGATGTCGTTGGCAAAAAAACACTAGCTCGTTTGCTTGTCCTGTCAGATCCCGACCCGGCAACGGTGCTACCAATATCACCGGCCATTCTTGGGGGAGCCCGGTAAATATCATCGGACCACTCTTCAATTTGTTGTTGTCGCTTTTTTGGGTCGGATGACTGAGAAGTTTTTGATGCAGCGTATTTTGAAGCAAGAAACCATTGGAATACCAAAGCCAAGACAAACTTGACGAGGACGATAGCAAGAATGAATGCCAAGGATACATAAAGGACTACTTTGGAAGCGATACATCCAACAGTCTCAGTATCAACACTTCCGACCTTGATGATCTGCTCGAGACATTGCGCAACTTTCTTGTCTTCTGATGATTGGAATGCGTGAGTAACATCCTTACCGCGTACCGCTGCGTTGGCCGCTGTCGTAGTATCCGAAAGAGTGGTAAACCTAGAGGGAACGGTGACTTGAGTGGTATTGAACCATTTTAAGAGGTCCAGATCAAGAACGTTGCCAGAGTATACCATGAGATTTCGCGAAGAATTCTTGATATCGTCCCAGGTAAAGTAGACGTCTCCAGCACCGTTGAGTCCGTAAAATGATGTGCGAGCTTCTGCTTGTAGATGGCACGCGTATCCAAAATAGGCACCAATGGTCTCATTGGGGGAGCTTGAGCCATCTTGGTTGAAGGCATGACAAGGAAAGTACCATGCAAGATCGTTATCAGAATTGGTTGGCACGTCCGAGTCATCAGCTAGAGTAATCAAACCTTTACATTTGCCATTGACATTCTGAAACAAAAAACTTCCGTCCATACCCCCATACTTTTGAGGTAAATCATACAGAACGTTCGACCCAGATGAGATGCCCGTTGCAGCAGGATGAGATGATTTAGAAAGGTCATATGCGCTTCCGTGGAAGATCATATATCCCGAATCCACATGGTTGACTTGTAATCTGAGGCCTCCACCAGTACCACATACCGTTGCCGTAAATCCAAAAGTCAAGAATCCCACACATGCCATAATGGAGAGAATAATGCTGATCAAGCCCATTTTCTCTCTCCAAGCTCTTTGCTGTGCCTTGGACCGGAAACCAAAACACTTGAGAACAAAGCCTGGGCACCAGAAGGTTATAATGGCGCAATAAACATTCCAAAGACTAGGTGGCTTCACAGTGTCGAGGGCCTTTTGTCTTGCTTTCTCTTCTTTGGACATCTTTTGCACCCTCTCCCTCTTTAACTTCTTTCCTCCTCGAGACTTCGAAGCGAACCCAGCCTTTTCGTTCGAGGCAAGATCTTCTGGTCCAGCTCCGTGGCCGCGCGTAGGTCGTTTTACGGGGGGTGTGATATCAGATTCCGCTTCCCCTGATGTTCGAAGCCCTGATGTCTCTGTATTCGCGGCATCCGCTTCCACATCTTCCATTATGGGATTGTTGCCAGTCGTTGAAGGCTGGGTATCCATGTTGGCGGCATGTTGGCGATAATGGTAGTTGGGATGACTTTCATCGATTCTGTTACGTTCTGGACGGATGAGACTTCGCTTTCTCGACATGGCAGTCGCGGGCGTTGTGGTTCGCGTTGGCGAGATGGGTTCGCGAGACATCGTTGGAGTAAGTGGAGATGATGATGTATCAGCAAAGGAAGATTTCGAAGGTTGACTTTCATGTAAAGGCGAAGCTGGGGGTAGAGTGTAATAGACAGTTTCTTCATCTTGAGCTTGTGCGCGCCGCAAGTTATTTCGATGGGTGTGAGATCTATGCGATTCACTATGATCAGGCCGCCTAGGGGGAGACATGATTCTATTTAAGCAAGATCATTAGTTGTTATCAGCGAATCAATGAGAGATTCAAATGGATATTCCAACTTTCAATCACTTGACTGTCTCTGTCGCCGGTGACAGTGGTTAGAAGGAATGAGGCAGTGGTAAACAAATTCCCACCGAGATATTATATGTCCGATAACATAACAGTGCTTTTTGCACAGCCTTCAACAATACTGATGGTGAGGGGCAAGCATAACTTTAGAGTAATGAGGAATATGGGGAAGCATACATTGATGGCGTTCAACAGTGGTCAAAGTTGTTTTTTCGTAGAGGGTTTGTTATATTATCCCTGTTCAATGTTGTGGGTTGGTTTCTTGGTCGACCAGAATCAAAACGGAGGTGGCGCCGTTACCAAAGTCGTCCATGTGCTGACTGACTGACATTCATTTGAAAATTCTGATAGCGAATGTAGGTATATTGATTTGATTGAGAGATTAAAACATGTGAATATAGGGGTTTCCCCAAAAGCAATAGACCTTAGTCTGGATCGATGTATCGGCGTCAAGAATTCTTGATGGCGCAAGGGATGGAAGGAGGAAACAGGAGGTTTGGGCGAGCGAATGAGTCCACGGGTATTTTTGGCAAGAGCGAATTTCGTACAGGTACTATGGAAGGAAGAATGAATAGGTGAATAGTTCAACTCCCTCTTTTTTTAAACGAGTGATAAAGTTTTGGAATTGATGAATACAGATAGATAGATGTACGATTATGGAGTGAAATTTGGAGATAATGGAGTAAAGAAACGAGTGATTTTCTCCCTTAATCTCCAAAATAATTTTATGATCGAGAGAAAGGATGGATGGGAAACGTTAGTAACGTTATTTGTTAGCAAAGAGGCAAATAGAGAGAGCTTCGGAATGCACCAAATATTACTATCAAGGACCGGGGTAAATAACAAGTCCAGATCCATAAGTAATCAAATTCTAAGATTATAATTGGTCAATAGAGATTCCTAAATATAGCTTAATTTTAGGAAGTTGCCAAGGGGATCGAAATGGTACCTGGCTGTTAGTTATCTTTGTAAGCGACGACTAAGCCTCAGTAAGGATAGGATACCAGTAGCAAATAAACTTTTTAGAATTCCCCCTCTATTATAAATTATCATTACAATTTTGTAGATCTGTGTACTTTGACATTTACAGTATTTCCATTTCCAGTTTGCAATGCATACACTGTATGTACTGTACTTCATCTGTTGTATGATGATGCAAAGAGTTTCATTCATCACGAGATAGGTAGGTATCCAACAGATCTTATGCCGGTTGAAATCGACTTTTTTTTTATAAGCACGAGGCATGATATTGCTTGCTACTACTCCACCTTTAAGAGACGACTAAAGACAGGGGAAAATACGAGAAGAGTAGCGCTAACCGATAACTTCAAATGGCGTTACGATATTTAGGTATCAACCCTACCTAATATATACAGACTCGAATAAGAATTGGAATCATCAAATCGGAATAACCATCTTCTTATTAATTCGCTATTCGGTTTCAATTCTTAATTATAAGGGAGGGGTATCGGTACTGTATGGTGTACGTACAGTACGTACAGTACTTATGTTATGCTACATACAGTGTTATTATTCGAGTAGATCCATCCTTGGCCCAAGGAGGGGGGGGAATTCTCCGCATCAACAGGGAAACCATGTCACTCCCAGAACGATCGTCACACAATCGGCAACGGTCATTTTTATTTATCTGCACTGCACTGTAAAAGTCAAGATACCGATTCATATTATTACAGTATTCCGAATTGGTTTCTTGGGAAGAGTTAGCCGCCCTCGTCATTATCCTGCTACAGTATACTGAATAAGACTAAGGTGATCGCATTGTTCACAGATCTTAATATTATTAAGCCTAATTTGACATTGTGAGTTGCCATCTAGCTTCTGTTTGTTGTAAGAGCTTTACTTACTAGTAGGCATGGGCCGAAGCGTAAGATCCCGAGTTGATCATCACAATAGTCTCTCTGGCTAGTACTCGTAGTTGGCATGAACTAACCTAACTACAACGACGAAATGACACTCGTTCTCTTCTAGAATCAAGCTACGGCCTACCTAACCTATAGGATATAAATAATTAGTACTCAGTACAGTATGATTTAAATGCCAGACATTCCCACGGCTATGTGAACCCCGAATATTCCTCGACGAACTCAGCCTCGTAATGCGATGACTACTATAGCTGATCTCAGCGCTTGTAGACTTGGTATTGAATGATTTTGGGTAAAACTTCAGGAACAGTGACCGAAAGTGTGCCGATGAGGGAAGTAACTATTGGCTTGTTCAATGTTTGATCGACTCTTTTGAGGCTCTAGGTCCGAAAAAGGATACGGCACACATCTTTAAACTAGTGATAACAGTTCCACCAGTACAGTATACAAGGGATTGGAAGAACACTATGATACAAATGTCACTCACATAAGGAGGGAAAGACTCAAATCCAGAATTCATATCAAACACTATCAAAATAATAATCGAGTAGAGTTGTCTTGTTATTGCATGATTTTCCACTCTTTTTTTTATTGATACATACTTCAACAATTGGAATGAGATGAGATAGATACTGTACAATGCATTTATTGAATGAGCTGCTCTAATTAGCCAGTTTCTTACTTGCTCATCCATTTCTATGGATGTAACAGATATCCATAGTTATTCAAGATCATTCACTTGTTGATTGATTACATTACTTGTGGTACATATTAGTTATTAATAATGCAGTACAACCTGAACATACATCTGTCAAAAAAAAAAGCTGTTAACTCATCGGACTACAATACAACTACTACACAAGAACCCCGGATCTTCCAAACCGTCAACCATCGTGTTGGGTACTTGGGTATGTACTGTAATGACTAGGATCTTGATCTCATTGGATTCTCATTAACTGGAATTGGATTGGAAGGAAGTTTCCCCGCACGCAGCTCCGACTCCTTTTTGACGCCCTGCCGCCTGACGCCTCTTACTTTTTCTTTGCAATTAGTTTCTTCTGTGAACTTACTAGGTGCAAAGCACGCAAGTGGATATTTCGACCATTTGAATGATTTGACTGGTCAAATACATATCCAGACGGGTTCAAGCATTGTAACACGCCCTTGAACTTTTTGGTAAAGTACGAGTAATAAAGTCTTTCATATGCACGCAGGGGCTTATCAACTTAGCGGTACCCGTTTATTTACGAGCTCCGAGGTTGTGAGGTCTGAGTTCTAATTCTGACGTGCGACAACAGCATTCCTGCGTCTTCATTCCTGCCATCCCATTCGCGCGAAAGCCCCAAATCATCAATTCAACCAACGTCGACAATCGGGAAACTCTGATTTTCTTGTTTAATCTTATTGTCAACAAAAACCTTCTTACATCCTGTACATTAACCCACCAAAACTACAACCCTTACTCCCGTGGGTATACTAAATCCTAGGGTCGCAGCAGGGGTAGAATCCTAGAACATTATTGTCCGCAGTTGCACCCGAGTAAAGCCTTTTTGATACTCCGAAACCAACAAGAAAAAGGTTACCGCCACGGATACGCTCTTCATTTTGTGTTCGAGTAAATCACTTGGAAATTTGACACAATTTGATCATTTCATCATACGCTTAGAGAAGGTACAACCGGTAAGATACTACATTGTACAGTCATACACCCATCTCACCCAATACTGAGTCACCTTTTCCACAGATCAAACCTCCTCCTCCAACGCCCTTGATCTACCACGCTCGTTTGCCTCCTTCTCAAACGTCTACAATTGCATAAGTGCTTAGGAAATACATCCACATAATAATATTTCGTTATTTCTTTGCAACCTCGCCCCCATACCTTGGTACAAAGTGATCTCGACACCGCGCAGCTTTAACTCCGGAAACCACGGAGATATTCCAGAGAGAATCATCTGAGCGCCTCCAGTAGAGTTTGTGTGGAGTAGTGTTAAACTTCGGGTTGACGGTCGAGCAGTACGGAAGTTGATCATGCCAACCCAAATCTCAACCCCCCCTGGTCCAGAAGGCTTCAAAATAACTACCCCTAAAGGATCGCCTTCTGGATATTTTGCCGGGGAAAATCTGAAAGAAAACAACAATGGGAGAAAATCAGTACCACCATCACCTCCTGTTGGAAGAATACAAGGATCACCAATGACTCCCACCAAAATCAATATACAGCGACAGTCTCGTCAGTCGCAGATCGAGAGCGAAGAGTCGACTATCTGGGAATCATATAAACCACATGAACATGAGAACTTCCAGCAGGCAGGAATGTTCGTACCAATAACTACTGAGATGCCATACCGAGCACCGCCGCCGCCTCCGCCAACAACCAACATAGAGCCTTCTCAGCAACCAGAAGTGAGGACATCTGGGGAATCGTCTTTGGAATCGATAACTTCATCGGAGAATTCGTCAGCCTACCCGACCCGATCTGGAAATGTAATTCCTGAGCGAATCGATGAAAACGAAGCAGATTCGCATGAACAATCAGTACCTCAACTACAATATTACCATCAGACTTCAGTGACTCCAAATCATCGAGCTTCTATGCCCATCGGCCCAAGTTCGAGTGACTTCGCTGAAGCAGGTGCCTTGACGAATCGCCACTTGACTCCCAGTTCCACATATGCCAGACATTCTTCTAATAATTCGGGTCAAAGACCATTATCTGCATTCTCTGACCTTGGCGGCAGAGGCCTTTCACCTGTCAATGGCCTCAACTCACCAATTTGGAATGGGCGTGCAGGATCCGCTAATTCAGGCCGGTCTCAGGATAGGCCAATATCATATGTCGATCTAGCGAATATGCCCTACACGAGACAACACGCACCAGGACCGATCTCACTTGACAATTCTCAGCTAAGGACAGTAGTAGGGTCAAATGCATCGTTACTTACCGCACAAAAGACACTAGATATGTATCGGCTAAACGCCAAGAAATCGAGCAGTTCAGAGATACAATATTCTTTTGCCATATTTCTGATACAGGCAGCTCAAGAGGCTGGCCTAAACGTAGAAGATGACACGCCGCGGAAGGCTAGCCCAAAGCCTGGTCGGAATAGCCCTTATATCGAAGGTGAAGCCGCCACTCCACAAAACCTACTGCGCGAAGCCAAGAGCATTTTACAAAAGCTAGCTGATCGAGGGTATCCATTTGCACAATATTATCTAGCTGATGGCTATTCTTCCGGACTATTTCACAAAGGAAAGGTAGATCACAATACAGCTTTCCCGTTGTTCGTTTCGGCAAGTAAACACGGCCATGCTGAGTCTGGCTATCGAGCTGCGTTGTGTTATGAATTCGGGTGGGGCTGTAGGACTGACGCTGCCAAAGCAGTGCAATTTTACCGGGCAGCGGCAGCTAAAAATCATCCTGGTGCAATGACGCGTCTTGGCCGAGCATGTCTCTCTGGAGATCTCGGGTTCGACAGATATAAGGAGGGACTTAAATGGTTGAAACGAGCTACCGAATCAGCCGATGCTCAGTACAATTCAGCGCCATATCATCTTGGCCTAATGTACGAGACAGGCTATGGAGATGACCTCTTCAAAGATGAGGCTTATGCAGCCGAGCTTTTTACTCAAGCCGCGGAATTAGGGAATGCTGACGCTTCTTTCAAACTGGGTGATGCGTACGAGCATGGAAAGCTTTCATGTCCTCGAGATCCAGCACTAAGTGTGCATTTTTATAATGGATCGGCGGAGGCTAGCAATCCCAATGCCATGATGGCATTGTGTGCCTGGTATTTGATCGGTGCTGAACCAGTACTCGAAAAGGATGAGAATGAGGCATACGAATGGGCACGACGAGCTGCTGAAATGAGTACGTATTGAAAAACATTGACTTACGAATCTTGGACTAATCACACAACAGGTCTTACCAAGGCGGAATATGCTATGGGATATTTTACAGAGATGGGTATTGGCTGCCGGCGCGATCCACTCGAGGCCAACGTTTGGTACGTCAAAGCAGCCGAATCAGGTGATGAGCGCGCAAAACACCGACTTGCCAAAATCCGAGCAGCAGCATCGGGAGGCACACCTATGGAAGTTGTGCCGCCGAGAAATGCCACCAAGATCAAGAAAGATGTTCCAACAGCCGAGAAGCCGGGGAAGGATGACAAGGAGTGTGTGGTGATGTGAAGAACTATATACAGATATCCCCTTATTGGGGAGGTACAAAGTAGAGAGCTTGGTTGCTCTACCATTTAGGTTCAATGAGTAATAATTTTTTGAACATTGAAAAAGCAAGGTCCAATAACCTGGAATCTATCGCAAAGGAATATGTCCCGGACTGTATTGGTATGGAGAAACGTATTGAATGTGAGAGTGTGGCTGTGGGAGCATTCATATCATAGAGAGGTGGGGTGTAGTATGTTATGCATGCATCTCAAAGGATAATAGTTGAATGGATTGGGTTAGTTTATGAGATACAGTATGTGCTTTTTTTCTCGCGTGTTAGGCGCGGTGTCTACAGGTCTACTAGTTTACATAAACGAAACGGGGTTTTTTTGGTTTCTTCTGTTGTATTGTATCTTGTTGTGTTGTGTGCGGGAGGGAGGGAGTACGCGTGTGTGGTTTTCTTCTTTTCTTTTCCTTTTTTTTTTTTTTTTTGCCATTATGGTTTTTGTATTTGCATTTAGGTTGGGGAGATGAGGAATGGGAGATGGGAGTATAGTTTCGAGAGGAAAGAAAAGGAAAGGAAAGCAGAGATGAGATGAGATGAGATGGGTTTTAGATGAGGGGGGACGAGAAAGGGATGAGGATGGGGATGGGGAAAAGAATCAGGATATGAAAATGAAGATGGGAATGAAGATGGGAATAAAGATGGTGAGAAGGGTTATAACTTGAACTTGGGAAATTTATATATAGGAGAGAGAGGAGAGAGAGGAGAGAGGGGGGGTGGAGAAATTATAAGGGTACTGTGGTGTGTATGCTCAGGCTGCTCAGCCTGCCAGTTTACTGGGTTGGGTTGGGTTGGGTTGGGAGTCAATGTATGGATGGATGGATGGGAAAAGATAGTCGTGGTTTCATACTTGTATATTTTACTCGATATACGAGTAATAGAAACTAAAATGAAAATGAAGATCTTGATTCCACGTTGTCTTGTGCTGTCTGTCGTGACTAACCTACTCCAGTACTCGAGTATATACCGGTGCGTACTAACAATGTAAGTAATAACGTTCTAACAACGTACTAACAACATTTTGAAAAAAGAGTGTGGCCGATGGTATAAGGTACACAAGAACACTCCACTTTTACCATCATCCATAATTATATAATTATACGATACACTGCAAGGAGATTTCGACTCGAGTAGTAAATAGCAAGCAAGTTTCGCCTTACAATAGTATAATGTAGTGTAGTTTTAGTAAAATGTTCCATCTGTTCAGGCTCATTACAGTACATACAGTAAGTATACTTAAAAGCTCACTGAACTAAAACTTCACTTGTGATTCGAATTTCAATTCTTTCCCCATCCCAATAAAGGACAAGATTATTCTTCTTTTAGATGGTTTTCTCGCTTCTCCCTGTTTAGACGAGTAAACTACTGTATACACTACCAGATAACTCACAATTTACTAATATTATCTGTTGCCTAGCTCTCTCTCTCTCTCTCTCTCTCTCTCTCTCTCTCTCTTTCTACTTAGTACTAACCCTCTGGATTTTTCATAGTCATCTGCAGCGGACTCGGGACCGAGCGAGCGATCGAACAAGCGATCTTCCTTTTGGTCTGATGCGTACTGTACTGTATAAGTCTATGACTGACTGACTCGGGTTTATAGCTATCATGTACACCTACCTACCTACCTTTGAGCATCAATACGTATTTTAAACATTCAAAGCCGTACAAGCGTCGCTCCTTGTAAATCTGCCGCTTATTATCTTCAAGTATTAGAGTCTGTGTGCATGTAATGTAACCCAGGGAAGTCTCTCATGGGAACATTCCACCAAAAGAATGGAAAAACTCACAGGTATCTAAGAGTCTTCCTAATTCGGTTTTCTTGCTTTTCTTTTTCATTGTGTTGGCCCAACTAATGGGTTCGGCCCCGTTTTCGGGAAAGAGATTATGTAGCTAGGGCTCTGGCATATAAATGAGAAAATTCAGCATATATCTTTATGTATTTTGCTTCCAAGTAGCGGGCGGTACTTTCCAGGTCGTAGCTAACTAACAAGTGTGAATGATCAGATACGAGGAGGACGAGGAAGATGGTAAAGACAATGAATGAGTGGGTTCGAGTAGGTTGATTTAAGTAAGAGATTCAGGAAGGAAGGAAGTCAATAGTTTCTATAGTTGATGTATATTGTATATCCTAATGGTGATTATGTGCTAGAACTCGCACTAGCAACGTAGAGATGTTGTGGTTGCTCTGTTTCAACATACATTGGGCCAATCGCTGGATTTGTCAAGACTAGCTATAGCCGCGATTAAAGAATGCCAAGGATATCGTTGGTTGTGTCTAGAATTAGAACATCCTCATCTCATGGATATGGAACAGGGTTGTGTAGATTCGTAGTGCTATGTGGCATTGGGTAAGTGCGTAGTTTCTTGGGGATTGGGAAGAGATGGAATGGAATATATTGGGTGCTAAATCTATTGGGTGATATTGGTCGAATGTGTAAATGTAACGAGAAATGAGGTGGTAGTGAAGAAAGTAGTAGATCATGTATTTGATTAAGCGGATCACACAAAGATCCGGGATTCGTTTTCTTTTCTCTTCTTTCCCAAAGGTGTCAGTCACGTTAAGTAATTGTGGTTTTCTCCAAAGTTTATAAGCAGTTCTGATGTTGTATTACAACTTGGAAATTCTCATCAAGATACTCTTTCTTTCGGTTCAGTGAGTGGCTGACGTTGTCAAACTGTCAGAGACGGCAATACTCGATATATAACAGTGAGATGGATGACATGTAGAAAGTTCAATAACACTGTTAGACTCCAGAGGTCGGCGATAGCAGGAAGGCTCCAGAAAAGGAGGTTTGTGGATGTAAACGCGAGGATTGCCGAGAGGAGGAAGACGGAGCGAAAGTCCGAGTCAAGCGACTGTTTTGGACTAATTGTAATATATACTACTGAGTAATAAAACTATATAAACTGAAATTACAAAAACAACTTAAAATAGTATATTGACTCTTTAATCGTTATCGATTTCAATACTCCATCCTACATATTCAGGTACTCAATAAGATAGATTCTGATCTAAGATCTTGCAAGAAATACCCTTTTTACTTTTTAGAATCTCGATTCTATAGTAATCCTCCCCTCTACTTCAACACTTTCAATTGAAAAGACCAGTCAGTACCATATATAATCAAAATCGAACTAATAGTCTAGACTACCGGTACCTAAACGACTGTATTCGGCTAGTCTAGCTTCAAATATCACTGAACTATACAGTATAGTTAGTCTACTTTTTCATTAGATTTAAGATGAACTCAGTCGTTCAACTTTAATTAGAAAATTGCAACTATAGTCCCTTCGTTTTACAGTCCGAATCCTGACTACTGGATACCCACCCTGCTCTTCTCTTCTCTTCTCTTCTCTAAAACCTGAGTGATATACTGTAAAGCCATACAACCATACAACTTCCCCAATATTCATGTCCGGACTGCCATCCGCCCATGAGAGAGAGACCCTTAATTCCAATTCTCCAGATAATTTTCATACAATAGAGTAAATCCATTCTCATTTCTCATTCTCATTCTCATACAAATAAACAGACCGTGACTAATTCCCTCCTAGCTCATTACTCAGACAACTCAACTCACGACTCACGACTCACGACTCACGACTCACAACTCACAACTCACAACAGAACTGCTCGCACGCATGATAACTAGGCTAGGCTAGGCTAGGCCAATACTGTAACAATAAATAAGAGTTCGTAGACAGATCAACATATCTCATATCTCATATCTCATATCTCATATCTCATATCTCATATCTCATACAAAACCATCAAAGCCATCGAAACCAACTAAGCAATATATAATGAAACTCGCCTAATAATCAAACAAACCTCCTGTACTCTGTGCTCGAGTAATTTATCCGCCTTTTCAACTTGGGCTTTGATATTAGATATTACCGACTTGATTTTGTAAGTTTTGTATTGAATTAATAGTTTGAAATTTCTATTAAATATCAAATATCAAATAAATCTCCAGGAATCAGGATCCACCCATCGTGAACGATTATCCGATATTCAACACGGTACGATGGTTCCTAGATGAAAACATTACCTACGCCTGGCTAATGACCCAGGTAGATCGATCCAGACTCAGATTCCAACATGAATGGTTCGGGTTGGATGACATGACATGACTTGGTATTTTCGTTTGTGAAAGTGAGATGCGGCGGTAAAATATCAACAAGTATCTATTGCCCAGTATCTCAAGATAATACAGTACAGAGAAACATCTGAAACTTTTAGTTTTATTTCAATTATCCGCAACTCGCGAACAGATATTGCTAGAGCTTATAGGTCTCTTGATATTACAAACATCATTACAAACAGCATTAAGGTAAAGATTACGCTTCCCGAACCTAGAGAAACCCGTGATAGATCGTACGAGCCATAGATACAACATCCATAACTTTCCTACAAAGCCATCACGACACCCACAATACCAACTGCCAAACCTCCACAAATTCTCAACATATCAACACCCAAAGCACCAGCCGCACCCTCTGCTTTCACAGGGGCAGCAGTCGGACTTGCGCTTGGCGTTCCCGTTGTTGCAGTTGCAGTTCCACTTCCACTTCCAGTCGTTGAAGTCTTCTGAGTTGCCGTTGCAGTTGCAGGTGCCGTCTCGGCCGCACCTGTACCTGTACCTGACGCACTTGCCGCACTTGCCGCTTCAGAAGTGACGCTTGCAACCAAATCGCCAAACCCATCTTTGCTGAGGATGCTCAGTTCAGCTGTGTAGACGGATCCAATAACGCTTGCGATGGGGGAGGGCAAGGCAGTGAGGACGGCTGTATTTGGAGTTTGACCGTTCAATATGTCGGCTTGAAGGGACGCTTGTAAAGCTTCGAGGGTGTTGAGAGCGGCTGTGTTGGTGGCAAGATCAGAAACTAAGGCAAGCATAGCAGATTGGGTGGCGAGGACGGAAAAGTATGATTGAAGGTCGTCAACTAGAGCTTGACTTTGACTTCAGGAGATGGTGTTAGCTAACTGTAAGCGGAGTTGACATGTAGGAAAGAAAATAGTCAAGGTAACTAGGGGGAAGAGATCAGGGATCGGGAAAAGTGAACAAGTCAAGACATACGATGCGGTTGGTGTTGTTGGCTCTGGGGCTGGAGCTGGAGATGCTGAGGCAAAGGCAATGAGCCCAGCGACGAGAAGAGGGTTTGAGAAGCGCATCTTGTCGAGATTGGAAATAATGGTGTTGATGTTGATGTTGATGTTGCGTTGATTGATGAGATTAGAAGAAAGACTATTCAGTTGTGATATCACAAGGAAGGAAATTCAAGAAGATGGAGAAGGAACAAGCTTAAGCTTAAAATTTCAGTGAATGCTGTCCCTACCCACTTAGGTAGTTTAGATCTAGAATTCCGCACTGGCACAAGGTCAATATGGTTGCCTAATCGGATAAGAATTAATAGCAATATAGAGCGAATTTAAGAAATTAAGGAGAAATTGATTGGTTACCTTTGTTTAGAGGCGGTAAAGGTGATAGAAGGTAAATTTTGGTCTTAAATATAATTCGATAAAGTAAATGGTGGGATGATGATGCTTGAGACCCACAATTACACCAACAAATGTCTTACTTTTCTCAGCCGCAATTTCCCCATCAATCCCACAGACAGATCACTCAGAAGATCAGAAGACCCAATATCCACAAACCTTATCAACACATCAACACTACTGACTGTACTATCCGGTGTTGGTTTGTCAATTGACCTAGACACCAAGGGCGATATTTCAATATTCCTCAATTGAATTTAAAATCAACTATCGAATGTCCTCTACCGTATTTCTATCGCTTGTTAACCATTAGCATTAGCATTAGCAATAGATACTGTGATAGTCTAATATAATGTGATTGATTCTTTTGATCGGAAAAATATTAGTTGCAGTTTTGCTGGTGGTACCATCTGTGAACGGAGCTGCATGCCCCTTTCTTATAGTAGGTCAAAGTAATTAACCGACTTCATACTTTCTTACCAGCCCTAAGGAGATCTGATACTTTCGGTGGTAGTACCAATGCACTCCGGTCGTTTCTTGAATAGAAGTCTACTAAGACCATGGCTGTCTTCTCAGGAAGGTCTTCGTGAATGAAATGTCCGGCGTCAGGGAAAACTTGCAGTGCATACTTCCCTGTTGGTCGTCAGCTTGAGTTGACTACATTTAGACATTCCATGGAAATCTAAAAAGATCTTACCTTGCATTTGTCCGATCATCAACTCTTTATCAAGTCTGTCCGTCCCCGCAAGCAGCAATAGCTTTCCACCTCTGGCCTCGAGGAACTTTTTGCTAAGTCCAACAAACCAATCTTCCCAAAATGGTTGAGTGGCCGCCAGGTTTGTGCGCCACGTCCACGATCGTGATCCGCTGGCTTCTTCATCATGTTTCAGTAAAGCAGGTACACTTGTCCGCGCCGAAAATGAGTTTCGTATTGTTCTTGACCTCATGTGCCATTCAATGCCGGATTGCAAAGAAGGAAAACCTAGTGGTCGGGTTGATAAGTAAGTTTGCATGCTCTGTAAGGCATCCATGGCAGAACCCTCAACTACATCAAGAACTGCGTAGCCAAGGACTGAGTTGCCTAGTTTCCCGCTCTTTGCAACATCTGTAACAACTGCACCGCCAAGAGAATGGCCAATGAGTACAAGAGGCGGAAGTTCTTTCCAACTCATCTTATCTTTTGTAGTTTCAATGACATATAACAAGTCGGAACTTAATGTTTCTAGACTAAGATCTAAAAGTTCTGCCTCTGGGGAAATATTTGTAGATCCATGGCCTCGAGCATCAAGAGAAAGTACACCGGCAGAAGGTAGCTTTTTTCGAATCTCTGCAGTCAAAACAGCAAAAGAGAGACCAGATGATCCTGCTCCGTGATGTGTAACAAATAAAGGTGCAGATCCAACAGGAGATGTAAGATAAGTATGGTGTATGATGGTCTCGGCCTCCACTCTATGTTCGAGAAACAATTCTCGCTCGAAATACGTCGTCCACGGTATTTGTTCCATTGTTCGTCTGTTGGGAACACTGATGGTATCAAAGATATCAGCTCGGCACACAAATATAGCTAAAAGCAAGAACAAACCCTTGCGGTCGAGCAAACAATTTCTGATTCGAGGATGGTATAATAGTACCAGTAGATGAAGCTGAAGATGCCGAGGAAGAGTCATCGTCTATTGGCAGATCTGGAAGTTCACCAGGAACATCAATATCTTCTTCCTCCTCCTCAGCCTCGTTGAACTCTGGAGGAGCAAACTTTGGTAGCTTGGGCTTAACAAAAGACCGTTGTAAATCGCTCATGTTGAAGTTTGTTACAAATATTTAATTCTGTAGTATTCAGTGGTATTCAATGGTAGGATTGTTCATTTGCGAGAGAAGAACAGGTTTAATTCATTAATTGTAAACTGATCAATGAAGCTCACGAGGGGGGGGGGTTGAGAAATAGGTGAAAGCAGCTACCAATAGCCAATAGACCAATAGCCTTTCAAAATAGCTGTATATATGTCATCAGCCACCGAAAATCACAACCACCGCCACAAACCAAACAGATAAGATAAGGGCTTTGCTTAGTCACCAAACCAGGGCAGAGAAGAGGGGTGGGGATCAACAATCCACTTCTCAGCCATCATGATGGGCCAACTTCTCAACTCAATTCATAACGGATTCAACAACTCGAGATGCTTATGGCACTCATCTGAATCATCTTGAACCATAGGAAAGTCAGTTAAGTTAGTTGGTGAATTCAGTGGCAACTAAAAATCATGTGTAATTGCACTACCTTGCATTTGAAACTTGATCAAGCATCGAACCATAAAAAGATATCTTGCGGAATGACGGGGATGACGTCAACACATTTCATTTCGATTCTCTTCAAAGCAGCTTTCACTCTTCACTTTTCACTCTTCACTCCTCACCCAAATATCAAATACCGGTATGGGTAGTACTCAAGTACGACATCAGATCTAATTCTAATCCATAATTGCTTGTCCCCTCTATCAGTCAGTGTCTCAAACATAATTGGTGCCCCAAGTATTTCACGGTGACGATTCTCCTAATTTGAATCAAATACCTTTCCTACCTATAGTTGTACTACATATCTTCATTTCATTTCATGTTGTCCTAGGAGGTTCGCATTTCTTATTATCTCATATCACTTTTCCATCTCTTCATCCACGATACAACAGCATATCGTTTTTGTCACAAGAAAGTCATTCCACATTGGGAGAGTCTCCAACAGAGTCAATATGGTTTCCCTGTGGGGTTCTAAGAAGGATGGCGACAACGATTCAGCTCACGGAAGTGTTCATTCACACACCCATTCCCAAAATGGAGATTCGCATGAGCATGTAGCGTCTCACCAAACACCACCTCAACCTCGTTATTCTCATGAAGCTGACGAGCGTACTCATTTACTTCCACCAAGTCGTGATGGCTTCTTGAGTCCCGATGATCCAGCTGTAAGCTCTTCTCCATTGTACTTTATTTACCACCACACCACACCACGCTTGCGATTTCCTTTGCTGGGAAAGCTTATCCTCATCTCATGCTGATAATATATACACATAGGTGTCTCCATATAATCTATGGAGCGTGCGATTCTTACGATACTTCACAGTGTTGTTTGCCATCATCACCTTTTTGTGGTGGGTTTTACTACTTGTGTCGATCTTCGTATCCCCACCGGGAATGCACTCGAGAGGCTCGGGTTTCTTCGACTTTTCCTATACTACCTTGACCCTCGGTCTATTACTCATTGTACTTCTCTTCTTCTCAACACCGTCCAAAGCAGCACAAGTAACATGTCTCGTCATTGCCGTGATTCTACTGGTCGACATGATAATGATTGTCGCCGTTCCGCGTCTCCGTGTAGAGGAGGGCTGGGTTGGAATTGCTAGTGTTATTTGGGCTCTGCTGATATCTATATGGACAATTGTCACAGACCGAGTTGTAGCAGCCGGCAAAGTTGAAGAGGAGGAGCGCTTGACCGGTCGCGCAGAAAACCGCCGAACCCTTAGAGAATGGTGTTCTGTCTTAACTTCTACAATCATTCTAATCATCCTAGCAATTGTCACCGTTCTGTTATCGGCAACACTGATCTTGAGATCTCGCGATGCTTCCCTTGCGCCACCAGGAGAACGATATTACGTTGACGGGGACAAATACCAGATACATGTCTTTTGCGAAGGTAATCTCACTGATGCGAAGGGTAATAAGAACCCAACAGTTCTATTTGAAGCTGGCGATGGTCCCTTTGAACATAGCATGCTCCAGATCGCAACAAATGCTTTTGCCAACGGAAGCATCAGCCGATACTGTTATTCTGATCGACCTGGCATCGCTTGGTCCGATAATGCGCCATCTCCATTCTCAGCTGGCATGGCGGCGGACGTGCTTTCAGAAGCTCTAGCTCGTGCAGGCGAAGAAGGTCCATGGGTGCTTGCTAGTGCAGGAGTAGGCAGCATCTACAGCCGCATATTCTCCTCCCGACACGGTCGTGAAATCGCAGGTCTTCTACTCATCGACCCCCTACACGAAGATCTCCTTTATCGTCTCGGTACACCATCAAGAGGCTTCGTCCTCTGGGGTCGCGGTATCATCTCACCTCTCGGCTTAGATCGTACATTTGGTGCTATTTTCAACGGCCGCACACGTGAAGACCGAGTATATGGACGTTCAGCTTACCAGGGTGGAAAAAGCCTCAAAGCCAAACTTCAAGAGTCTCTCGTCGCTAATTCGTTGACGAAGAATGAGGTTAGTAGCGCGAGGAATATACAATTTGAGACTACACCGCTTGCACTGATTAGCTCCGGTATTGAGGTTAGGAGAAGTGACGAGTGGAAGAGAAAACAGGAAGATCTTAGTCATTTGACGAACAACCTGAAGAGTTGGGATGTGGTCAGTAAGGCTCCTTCGGAGGTGTGGAAGACGCTTGAAGGAAGAGACATTATTGAAAAGAGGTTGAAGGAATTGGTAAAAGGAGCTGCGGACTTTGACATGATGGAAGAGAAAAATTGACTATGAGATGAGGGGAACTGTGAGCAATGGGGATTTCAGAAATAATCCTTTTGGGCGGATAGGAGCGTGGACATGGACATGAACACTTCCTTCGTTGCTTTTTGATGATTAGTTAGTACATTTGCATTCTGGTTTGGTGCTGGATGGCGGGGTTGGATATTCTTTTATATCATTTTACGATTACTCGTATTTTACTTTTTTAATTAGGTAGTTAATGTATACCATACATTTACAGCGTCGCTTTGATTTCACTCGTATACTCGTATGATTCATCTTAAAGCTTTCGAAAATAAGGAACAATTTGATGTATCATGTATGGTAGGTAGTCTTTCATCCACACGCAGTTTAGATAAATGAAGCAGATTGAAATATCTAATACCATAGCTTCTTTTATAAACTTCGATATTTTAAAGTGCAGATCAGGTCTGGCTTGTATAGTAGAATACAGGCAACTAACTACCTAGGTAGGGATGGGAGTACTCAGATTGTAGTACTCGGATGGGAGAACTCGGATTGGAGAAGGCAGAGGTAAAATATGATTCCGAGTCGGCTGATTTTTTGAGGAAGTTGAGATGCTATGTATAATGCTAACAATTTTATATTCCAAATTCCCATCTCAACTTATCTTCTTTCATCCTGTCCTATCCCATCTCTCTCATCCATTATCACCCAACTTAAACGAAGCCATCTCAATTCACTTGTTCTCAAACGATGCGACCCTATTATCTGATCCGATCCAATCCCTCAAAGCATACTGAGGTATACATACCATACCATAACATATCATTCTAATTCACTCTGATTATTCACTCCCATCATTCACTCCCACTCCCACTATCCACTCCTCTATTTACATACTAGGTATACATTCATACGCATAAACAAAGCAACACCAATAAACATTTCTCTCAACTCCAACATCAAGCACCACGACCTCCCTCAATTATCTTCCAAGTCCCTTCCGAACCCCCTGATACTTTTCTATTTCCATTTTGTAACCTTCTTCTGTACTCGAGTATATTTAACAGAACCATCTTTTTTCAAATTTGAGTTTGGGGCTGAGGTGCACAAGTTTGTTGATGGGATAGATGGGGTAGATGCGATAGATATGCTTATAAAACTCAGGATTACTCGAGTGCTATGGAATAAATACTCGTACTGAGTATACCTATTCCTGTGAATTTATTTCCCGGGCCCAGTAACATTGACGAAGAATAAGCCAGGTTCAATTAATCTTTATCTATTCTTGTTCATATACTCGTAGTCTAAACTATAAAAAGTTATGAAAAGGTAGGTAGGCCATGATACATACAGACTATAGCTCTATACAAGTTACAACCTGCCTAATATCCATTTTCCATTTCTGCATTTCATTTCACAGCAACCATAACGCCAAAACCGGACTATGCACATTTCCATGCAACCCAAACGATCCTCCGGTCCATAGCAGCGCCGCGTCAGAAATCATATTAAGAAGCTCCTAGAATACCAGATATTCTCAATGATAAATCGAGGATAGTAAGGTGTTCGTCTGCTCCATCGACGAGTCGTTTATCTGCTTCTGAAAAGAGAGCTACGATTTTACTTTTGTGGAGATCGGCGATGGATTCGGAGTTGATGATGGTTTGGTAGAGCTGTTGGGTTGGGTTGGGTTTATTAGCTTCTGGTTCTCTCTCTATGAGAATGTGAGGGATGGAAAATAATAAAACTTACTTGTGAGACGACTTGTGTGCCGCTCCATCCATCTGCTACCATGTCTACGACTACTTTTGATACGGCATCATATACGACCCCTCTTGATTTTGGTTGCATGGCTTTGACCAACTTATCAATCGTATCATCCGGTATAACTCCCGCAATATCCTCCACAGTGCTCACCGTAATCATCTTTTCATCCACATCCATTTCATCTCCTTCATCACCCTCCTCGTCCTCAGGACTACCCGTTCCCACCAACCTCGCCGCACTCTGCAAATATGTAATCGCCTTTCTCAAATCCCCCTCACTGCATTTAATCAGGGCTTCCACCGCCCCCTCCTCCAACTTAACCCCCTCCTTAACCGCAATTTCCCTCACCCTAACCACCGCATTCCCCTTATCCAAACTCTTGAAGCGAAACTTACTACACCTACTCGCCAACGGATCAATAATCCTCGTCACATAATTGCAAATCAAGCAGAACCTCGTAATCCTACTATACGTCTCCATCGTTCTCCTCAACGCACTCTGCGCATCCTGCGTCATACTATCCGCCTCATCGAGAATAATGATTTTATATGGGGGACACGGATATTTTTCACGATAGCCGGGAGATGGATTGGAAAGTTGCATGCGAGCGAAATCCTTGACTTTTTCGCGCACAATGGATATGCCTCGTTCGTCCGAGGCGTTGAGTTCGAGGACGCGCGATTTGATGAGTTCGGGACCGTAGAGTTCTTTGGCGAGGGCGAGGACGGTCGAGGTTTTCCCTGTGCCGGGTGGACCGTAGAAGAGCATATGAGGGAGCTGGGAGTGCGTATGTTAGAGGGGTCATATGAGGAGAGGGGGGAGCTTACATTGGAGGATTGGAGTGTGCGTTGCAGGATAGTAATGGTATGGTCTTGGGCAGTGACATCCCCCAGACCTTTTGGTCGACTGTGAATTCTTTAGCAAGACTATCGAAGAAAGAGATAAAGTGCAGATTAAATAACTGACTATTTTTCAACCCATGGCTGCATCCGATTGTTTTCCTTGGGCTTCTCTTTTGTGTTTGCGGTCCCATTTGAAGCAGCTTCCGCCTTGCGAGCTTTGATATCGAAGAAGCTAGCCATCGTAAAGAAGACCTTGATTTCTCCTGAAGGTTACAAGCTGTAAAAAAGTTTGGATGTCAGATAATAAAAAGATATTGTAGGCAAGAAAGGCCGATCGAGGGAGACGCGTCGTGAATTTCCACTCTACGCGACATATTTAGCGTGAGGCTGAAATTCGATAAATATCAGGCTACTTGTCTCAACACATTGGATGTTTGGAACTATAGTTGAGTTATCTTGAGTAGTATTCTTGCATTTAATTTAGTATCAAGTAAGAAGCACTTTGAAAATGGTCTCATCAATAATGCATGATGCCGTATATTTGTTCAACATTTGGCTCGGACGATCACTATTGGCACTCGAATCCCAAGAATCCCAACCACTAGACCTGCTATAATTGTGATTGATCCGAGATCAAATCGTCCGTCCTTATAACCCCAAGATTGCCATCTAGAGTAGACCAAACTCCCCCGATATTCGAGATTCCCAGCTTCTGCTTACCGCCAAGAACATCTTCTTCTACGCCCTGTCCCTGTGGAAGACACCCCAAAAGAATTTGAAGGTCGTTCAGAGTCTGATAGGCTTCTGCAAGCGCCGATTCTCCATCTTCCAATCTATCTAAAACTGCTTCTTTGGTCGCGATGCTACTTGATTCGGCTGCAAAGACCCAAGCTTTGGCTCGACTGGATGAGCTTGGCTTGTCGCTATTCGAAATATCATCTTCAAATGATATCGGCTCCCCCAGCCTTTTCCGTTGAGAGATGACAGTCGGCATAGGGTAACCAGGCAAGAGATGGCTTTCGTCGACGAGCCTGTCCAGATCTTTACCAGCTTCTTTGTGTTGCCTCGTGAGACTGCCAGTGAGATACGATCTTTGCTGTATGATAGATTTCTGCTCGTTTGAGATGGAAACCAAATCTTCAAGGTAAGAATATGTCGACATGTTTGTGATGTTGGAGATATCATTTGGAGGTTCACCTATGAACACGCCAGAAGAGACTTCTGCCCCGATTTTTATAGGGGGTGGTGTAGCAAGATCCTCAGTAGCAGCGATGATTAATCTTTTCCTGATTTCAAGGTATTGCGCATATATTTGCTTTATGGATGCAAGCTGAGAATCAACACATTCCTTTCCCTTATGCTCAGGTATGGTCGGATCTTGTCCCTCCGGTGCTGATGGTGAGTCTCCAGCTTTTCCTAATTCCATCTCGATCCAGCTAATCAGTTCGTTACGGGTTATTCCCAATGCTTGCTGTCGATTACCCTGTTTTCGCTGATCTGTTGACGTCGTAGCTCCAGCTCTGACTTTTGCCAGTAATTTCTGTTCTTTTTTGAGAAGTAGTTGTGCCCGGAGAACCGACTTCTCCAGACGATCGACGAGTGATTTCAGATCAATTCTCTCAGAGACTTGATGATGTTCTGTAGGGGCTATGACACTTGCTGGTATTGGCGGTAAGGATCCAATGTCTCTCAGCACTTCCAGACTCGTTGGATTTAGACAATCTTGTGTCGCAGCGGGCTTCTGTGCAAGTTGATCCACAAGATCTTGAATAATGCGAAAACTTTCCTGCCTCCGACGTTGCGTTTCTAGATTCAAGAAAGTATGTAAGGATACTTCCTTATACGTAGCTTTGTCGTGAGTTTTTGCTCGAATCTCGCTATGAGATTCTGTTTCATCGTGCTGTGCACTGATCGTAGCGAAGTCTCTTTGGGCCTTGAGATTAGCTTGAAGGCTGCGTAGATATTCATGTTGAACACCCGGAAAGCCCAATCCTTGTCTCACTTCAGAGGTGGGTTCTGCAAGAGACAAATTTGTGGGCGTCAAAATACTTTCCCCAGAGTTCACATTAGAATTTAGGTGAGCAGCGAAAACATGTCGAACATGTAGAGCATCCTGTCTTTGTCTGATGTAAGGGCTCAAGGCATGATGTATATGTTTAATGCCCTCGGGAAGACTGTCCTCATCATCCATTTCGATAGAAACTATGAATATTGACGTTTCAGACCGCTTGACGCCGTGAGCTATAATTTTTAAAGGTTGCTATAGGTAAAGCTTGTTTACTTTAGTGATGTTGACAAGTGGCGGGGAGGTACAAGTAGATAGCGGCAGGGACTTATACCTAATTCCATAACGTGTGTTCAAATAATCGAGATTTGGATTTTTTGCGAATTTTCATCTTAATCTCAAAGTTAGAATTTCAATATATAATAATTTGATCAATGTAATTTCAAAATTGAAAATGTTTTTAATATTATTGAATTATTAATTATTAATATCATTTCTAGAAAATTTAAAATATCAAAAAAGTTTTGTTATTAGAATAATTATCGATTATTAAAATATAATATTTTGAAAATTTGTTTCAAGTTGGATATTTTAGTTATATTTTCAAGATGTTATTCAAACTCATTAAGAAAAATTTGAATATTATAAGCTGTTATTTAAATATAAATATGTTTATTTTATATTTGATAATATAGTTTTTACTGAAATTGAAGCTATTTTGATGGAATTATCACTAGTAGATTAAAAATTCGAAAGTTGAGATCGAGATGAAAATTCGCGAGGAGTTTAAATCACTTTTTTGAACACTCGTTATAAAATCAGGTGTAGCGTCTAATTGAATTTTAGTGGCCTCGCGTTAAACCTTAATTTTGCGAATTTTGGAAACATGAGACCTCTCGAATTGAAAGCAAAATACCCTTTACTGTAGCATCTATTAATTTTCTTTGCATACCTTCTTTGATTCATTGATATTTTGGAGATTAATTCCATAACTCATTTTTTGAGAGAATCACTTCAAATGACTTGAAAGCTCTCTTCCAGCCATCTTCTACTGATTTCTTTTCGATATTCGCCATACAGGCACCACCAACCTTTCTCACACTGTAAATTTAACGACTTACCAAAATGACGGACCAACAGCGTGATGTATCGCAGTACAAATATGCGGCAATGTCCAACCTGGTCCTTCAGGCGGACCGTCGATTTGTTACTCGCCGCAATGATGAGGTGACAGGAGATCCAGAATCACTGGCGGGGCAAATCAGTATTCGGGATATGGGTTCAAGAAATGCTCGCGAGGACGCGCCAAAACAGAAAAAGAAAGCTTCAGGCCTTCCAGATGTTGAGAGAGGAGGTTATCGCGAAGGTGAGGATGTCTTGGAACGAGAACAGCGCAAACGCAAGCGTGGAGAGCCAGCACAGCTCCGGGGAACTGGAATATTGTCGGCAGCAGATGCATTGGTCGAGGGGATTCGATATAGACCTAGGACTTCGGCGACGCGAGCAACCTACGATCTCGTTCTGACTACAGTCGCTAACAATCTTGGGGACGTCCCCCATGAGGTTGTTCGGAGTGCCACAGACGCTGTGCTGGAGTACTTGAAGGATGACGATATGAAAGATTTCGACAAGAAGAAGGAGGTCGATGATCTACTAGGCGCTAGTATGAATTCAAAGCAGTTCAACGAGCTTGTGAACCTGGGAAAAAAGATTACAGATTACGACGCGCAGGATGAAGACGAAGAGATGGCAGATGGAGATAACAGCGGCGAAAATGGCGCAGAAATAGACGACCGTCAGGGAGTAGCAGTCGTATTCGACGACAATTCCGACGAGGAGGGTGACGAGATGCTTGATGAAATTCGGGACGAGTCATCCGAAGACGAAGATGACGCCCAAGATCGTCCTGCCGATGAGGAAGTTGCCATGGCTGGTGGTGCTGGAGTCGATAAAGACGAAGAATCCCAGGAACTACCCGAAGAGGAAGCAATAATTATGGACTCCGGTTCTATGCAGAATACTGACTCAGCCAAAGACAAGAAGGACTTCATACCCGCACGCGAAATTGATGCATATTGGCTGCAACGACAAATCGGCTCAGTATACACGGACGCACATGTACAACAGTCTAAGACACAGGAAGTGCTGCAAACACTATCTGGTGCTCCCGCGGAAGAAGGTGGGGATGAGAAGCCTCTCAGGGAAATCGAAAATGATCTCGCTGAATTGTTTGATTATGAGCATCATGAGCTAGTACACAAACTCATCGCAAATAGGGACAAGATAGTCTGGCTTACCCGTTTAGCTCGGGCAGAAGATGCTGAAGCTCGAGGTGTGGTCGAACGTGAAATTGCTTCGGAGGGACTACGATGGATCTTGGATGAGCTTCGTGGAGTCGCGCCAGGAGATGGCTCAAAGAAACGGAAACTGGAAATGAAGATGGACATTGACGTTCCAGCTGAATACATCAATGGCGGCAGCAAGAGTGAGCAGAAAGACAGAGATGGTCTAGTTGGTGGACTGCAACCGCGAAAGCTGGTTAATCTTGAAAATCTTGTCTTTGATCAAGGTAATCATTTGATGACGAATCCTAAGGTCAAATTGCCGGAGGGCTCTACCAAGCGAACATTCAAAGGATACGAAGAGATCCATGTGCCGCCTCCCAAGAAGCGCAACGATCCTTCCGATCGTGATATTCCGGTTGCAGAAATGCCTGAATGGGCACGAGTTCCGTTCTCCTCTACAGTCAAACTCAACAAGATACAATCGCAGTGCTTTCCGACAGCCTTCGAAGACGATGGTAATATGCTCATTTGTGCGCCCACTGGAAGTGGCAAGACAAACGTCGGCATGTTAACTATCTTACGAGAAATTGGCAAAAATCGCAATCCGGAGACTGGAGAAATCAACTTGGACGCTTTCAAAATTGTTTATATTGCGCCTCTCAAAGCATTGGTTCAAGAACAAGTTGGAAATTTCGGTGCGAGACTTAAGCCGTATGGCATCAAGGTTTCTGAACTGACGGGAGATCGCCAATTGACGAAGCAACAAATTGCCGACACCCAAATCATTGTGACAACCCCTGAAAAATGGGATGTTATCACTAGGAAAGCCACCGACTTGAGTTATACTAACTTGGTCCGTCTCATTATCATTGACGAGATTCATCTGTTGCACGATGATCGTGGGCCAGTTCTAGAAAGTATCGTGAGCAGGACGATTAGAAAGGTGGAGCAGACCGGCGATCCTGTTCGTCTGATTGGTCTTTCTGCCACACTGCCAAATTACCGTGATGTCGCAAGTTTTCTACGTGTTGATCCTCTCAAAGGCATGTTCCACTTCGATGGATCATACCGTCCGTGTCCACTTCGTCAGGAATTCGTTGGCATAACAGAGAAAAAGGCGATTAAACAACTGAAGACCATGAATGATGTGACTTACACCAAGGTCTTGGAGCATGTAGGGACAAATCGAAACCAGATGATCATTTTTGTGCATTCTCGTAAGGAGACGGCAAAAACAGCTAGATATATCCGAGACAAAGCCTTGGAAATGGAGACGATTGGACAGATTTTACGGAGTGATGTGTCGGGGACACGAGAGACTCTCGCTTCTGAGGCCGAGGAGGTTAGCGATCGAGAGCTTAAGGATTTGCTACCCTACGGTTTCGGAATACATCACGCTGGTATGAACAGGCCAGATCGAACATCTGTCGAGGAACTTTTCCATGAAGGTTTGATTCAAGTCCTTGTCTGCACTGCTACACTGGCATGGGGTGTCAATCTACCAGCGCATACTGTCATTATCAAAGGAACTCAAGTCTATTCCCCGGAAAAAGGCAGTTGGGTAGAATTGAGCCCTCAGGATGTACTTCAAATGCTTGGACGCGCTGGACGGCCACAGTACGACACGTACGGAGAAGGTATCATCATCACCACCCAAAACGAAATGCAGTATTATCTGTCACTTCTAAATCAACAACTACCGATTGAGAGTCAATTTGTTAGTAGATTGGTAGACAACCTAAATGCAGAAGTTGTTCTCGGCAATGTCCGTAGTCGAGACGAAGGTGTCGAGTGGTTAGGATATACCTACCTATTCGTTCGAATGCTGCGATCTCCTGGGCTGTACAGTGTAGGAGCTGATTATGAAGATGACAATGCTCTTGAGCAAAAACGAGTCGATTTAATTCACTCTGCTGCTATGGTTCTGGAGAAGTCTAACCTTATCAAATACGATAAGAAGACGGGCAAACTACAAGCAACTGAGCTTGGCAGAATTGCTTCG